TCTCCACAGACCCCCAAAGAAAGGGAACAAATCCTTCTGCCCTATGCCTACCAAGGGATGTGAGTAGGGCCCAATAGTTCTGCTAGGCATAGGAAGCTGTCCAGACTGATATTCCCTCAACCACACCATAGGAAACCCAGAAAGGCTTCTTTAAAAACAAAACAAAAACAAACAAAAAAAATTCAAGAGGTCTTCCAGGTGGAATGTGTAACCCAATTTATATTTAAGCACAGTCATAAATATAAATGCCCAGACCTTTGTCTCCTTGTATTTGGAGGTTGCTTACCTCTGAGTTTCACTAACTAAAGAAACTGCAGAGTTAATCAAACCCCTTTCCCACACATGGTGGAAAACAAAGTTCTGTGTTTTAAATCTGTAGATGAAAACCTATTTTACTCTTGAGCTGCATTCCCAGCTCTAAAATAATTTTTCCTACCCAGAGGAGGTCCCACTATGATACCCAGGCATGGCTAGCTAGCTAGCACTCCTAGTCACACTGACTGATGTTGCCTTAGCCAGCCCAATATGGCAGATGTGTACTGCCTCAGCCCACTTGCTTGCATGCAACTCTAGGTTCATTCCTCAATACTATACACACACACACACACACACACACACACACACACACAATATTGGTGTGAAGGTCAGAGAACAACTGTTGTAGCTGAGTTTTTACTTTTCATCTTGTCAAGGCAGAGTCTTGCTCCAGTGCTAAGCTCCCTACTCCCAAATAAGAGACGTAGGACCGATGAACAGGCCAAAAGAGTAGGCAAGACTGGCTGGAAACGAGGGGAGATAGACAGCCTGCAGAAGCTAGGAAAGATAAGAAAAGGGTTCTGAGCAGATGTCTTGGACGGTAGAGGACTGCCTCTGTAAGCCTAACGGCCTGAGTTTAATTCCAAGAATTAATTCCTGTGAAGGAAGAGCCAGATGTGATGAGCCCCACCTGTAGCCCTGACACTCCTACAGCGAGAGGAGACAGAGACAGGAGAAACACCTGGAAGCTCACTGGCCAGCTAGGCTGGATTTGAATCAATTCTTATTGTCCAAGTTATCTTCAGCTACTTTCCATGGGTACTGGTGAGCGTAACGAACGGATTTAGCAAAACTGGCCAAATACTAGCACCCAAAGAGCTTCTGGTTCAGTGAGACTGTTTCAAGAAAATGAAAAATAAAATCAAGGGCAGAGGGATCAAGAAAACACACATGGCATGAACACTGGACCTCCACATTCACAACCATGTGTACATGTACCCTAATGCATACATACACACACTAACACCTCACATGTATACACACAACACACACACACACACACACACACACACACACACTATCAGATGTGTTTAGAGATGAAGACAAATGAACAATATGTACAAAGGCAAAGAACCAGCAAGACAGAGAGAGGAGAGATTGAGGAAAGTAATAGGGAGCAAATATAAGCAAGTTACATTGGTATATATGTTTTAAAAAGGTCATAATTAAATTTATTAGTTTTATGGCAACTAAAATTTAGAGATCACAAGATGTTAAACTGACGACATGTGAAGTACAGATGCTTTGACTTTCAGTTTCTGATACTCTTTCAGGAATACTAAGTTCTAATCAGTCATAGTGACAATCTTCAAAACAGATGAGGATCTTTTTTTTTTTGGTTTTTGTTTGTTTTCAGCTGTTGTCAGCTTAGATGCAGAGATATCCTTAGCAGTCCACCACAGGCTGAACAATGTGGTGCTGTTGTAAGAAATCTATGACCAAAATCTGTAGTCTCAAGTCCTGTCTCAGCTGCTGCTGTCAGTGAACAAACCCCACAGCCTCTGGGAACTACTATTTAGTAGTGAGAACTTGCCTACGTCAATACCCACATGTGTGTCTCCAATGTGACTTTTCATATCATAGAGTTTTTTGCTTATCAGTATGTGCTGATTATATTAAGTAATAGCATTCATTGTAATATTTCTGCATATGCATACAAAGTACTTTTGAAGCAGGATAGAAAGACAAGGGAAGTCAAGGAGATGGGACACAGGGAAGAAACTCTTCATTCTAGGGTTTCATTTTCTGCTCAGAGAGAATCAAAACTATTGACACAATTTATGTGATTAAGACCGGAGCTGGGTGTGTGTGGTGTACCATATCTATAATCCCAGAATTTGGGAGGTCAAGTTAGAAATCCAGACCAGCCTTAGCTATGTAGTGAGCCCAAGACCTGCCTGGGCTATATGGCACCCTGTCTCAAAAAACAAACAAACAAAAAGAAGAAAAAAATTGCTTATGGACGGTTTGGAGATGTTATTCAATGGTAGAGAGATATAGCACTATCAGCAAACACACACACACAGAGTGAGTGAGAGGGAGAGAGAGTGAGAGAGAGAGAGAGAGAGAGAGAGAGAGAGAGAGAGAGAAGGAGAGAAAGATTGCCTACGGAGAGAACATTTTCTTTTTCTGAGAGATATTTCAAACAAGGATGTTGAAAAAAATAAAAACAAAACTATGCTAGCTTGGGAGCCATATTGCTGTGACCTTTGTGTTTAAAAGTATCAGGGTTGCTGTCCCACCCTTAAACCTAAACAATACCCCTCATGAAACTATCTTACAACTTCATTTAGAAAAACAGAAATCTTAACCATGCATTGGTGGCACATGCCTTTAAGCCTTTAATCCCAGCACTCAGGAGGTAGAGGCAGACAAATCTCGGAGTTGGAGGCCAGCCTGGTCTACGAAGCAAGTTCCAGGATAGCCAGTCCTACCCAGAGAAACCCTGTCTGGAAAGCAAATCAAAAACCAGAATTCTTTTTAAAATAAGTCTTTCTACATTTTATTTATTGTGTGTTTGTTCTACATTTTAAGATGAGAGAAATACATAATCTTAAGGGCTATGTTATATTTATTGCTAAGATACCTATAAATTCTTCTCTCTCAAGCTCCAACACCTATGCTGTCTCCCTGCCCATCTTCCCTGTCCTTCCCCCTCTGTGTCAAAGCTTAATTCTAAAGCATCTACTATCTCCTAATAAATTAAATACTTAACAAATTCTTTAGCTACTTCACTCGGACTTCTGACATTTTTTTCTGTGTCTGTCTTGAGGGTGGGCTTTACCTTCCTGGAGGTCCCAGAGTGGGAAAACTCTGTCAGGCTGCAGGAGGCAGCCATGGCTACTCCCAGCTGCTACTGCTGCTGACAATGTGATTCTCTTCATCCCCATGGCTCTCCATTGTCCTTCCTACCTCCTGGTTCCTGCTCTCTAAGTGTCTCCTTCTACTTTTGTGACCTTATAATAGAGCTCTGTCAACCCTGCCCTGCCCTACAACTGCCACCTATTCTCCCACATTCAAAAAATGTGTGTGTGGGGGAAAATCAGTATTTTCACTGCTTCTTTTCTTTCAGCTCCGTTTTCCCCTCCCCCTGGCCTTCCAAACTTCTTTGGTACATCACAGAAGAAAATAGCAAAGAGACAAATAGGTCTAAATCAAAGATGTCCCAATAGAGAAAGAACAAAAATCAAGATTCAAAGTACTGCAGCATTCAAAGAAGCCGAGAATTCTAGAGGCCCACAGGCAAATTGTGCTCTGTGTTTGGGGGTGGGGGGGCGTGTCTAGAAAAGAGGAGAGAGTAGCCTTATGAAAGAGGTGAAATAAAGGCTTTTCAGGCTCTCGGGATCCCTTGGAAACTGGAGTATTACCCTGGCACAGTTATTAAAGCTGTGTTTTTCAAACTGTTTACTCAAAAAGGCCACTTAAGTTCAATAATCCACCTGCCCCAATGAACGCTTGTTTCAATGACCATAGTTTGAGAAAGGCTAGGGAATCACTGTCTGATTTCCAACAAAGAAAGACATTTTTTATTGATGCTACTTTTAATGTATAAAAAACCTGCTGTTTTTAAAAATACTAGTGATGCTTTAAAACACTTAACAAAAACTATAAGTCAATGTCTTTAAAATAAAGACAAAAATTCACAAATAAAAGTGTTTGTGTTCATCTAGGTCTGAAACTTAGGAAGTCCTGGCACTGGACAAAGTGTGTCTGGATGGATTTCCTTGAGAAAGCGGCTCTCCTTTATAACATAATGTCTAATTTCCTGTGTTTGTACCAAGGGCATTTCTTTTCTTTTTCCTTTTTATATGAGAACACATTGTGACATGTTTAATATTGATGAGGTTGACCTCCTGGGAGTTATAATGTATGCACCCCCTTTTAAATACAAATGTTGTCTAATTTATATGGTAAACACATAGAATTTTGGAGATTAGCATTTTTAATCAGCTTTAATCTCAGTATTTTCACTTTTCCCTACCTTTCTTTTCTCTGTCCAGAAAGGTCCCACAAATCCACTTTGGAAATGACAGCTATTTTCTGTTCTTGGAGATGTGTGTGCAACAGGCACAGAGCCTGGGGAAGCAGCACACTCACAAATCTTAGAGTGTGCAAAGCAATGATCAACGTTTTAAGAAACAGAACAGTACAACCATTCAACAAGTATTTGAACTGGGGCCACGAAGAAGTAGGCAGACTCCTGTGTGTGTGGGGGGTGCTGTATGTGTGGGGTGTGTGTGGTGTCTGAGTGTTCCTTCCTGATATTATGGCACTTCTGACCTGAAATTGGGCTTCAGATTTTCTCTCGTGTCCATTTTTTCTCATTGCTGGTCTACGAGCTTTGAAGTTTCGTGTAAATGTTCCAACACTCCAGTTCTTGAAAAGAGGGCAACATTTTTTTTTTTCAAAGTGGGGATTAAGACCCCAGAGATAACCTAATAGGAATATCCTAAATTCCATGCTAGTTTGGGCTACGTAGACACAGTTTCGGGAACCCCCATCTCCTAATTACCAAGTCCTAGAGATAGAAACCTTTTTTTTTTTTTTCCTGCTTGGTTGCAGGAGGAGCCAAAGGGGGCACTGAGGGGGCGGCGGCGGTGGGCGGGGAGCCAGGCCAAGGCTTGAGTCCTGTGCAGCCATTGGTGGGGAGTGCGAGCTGAACTGAGCATGTTCGCGCCCGCCAGCCAGGGCCGCAACCACAGCCGCAGGGACGGCAGCCGGGAGAGCCACCGCGCATTATGCAAAGCGGCAGCAGATGTGAGCGGGGCCAGCTGGGCGCTCCTCGGCCTCCCCTCCCAACGGCCGACCCAGCTGCCTGAATTGTCCCGACACTCCCCTGGCCCTGGCCAGGGCCGACATGGCCTGAGTACCCCCAGGCGCGGCGGCGCAGTAGCGGGGTTGAAACATGGGGAACCAGGATGGGAAGCTGAAGAGGAGCGCAGGTGATGCCTCCCACGAAGGCGGCGGCGGCGGAGCGGAGGATGCCGCGGGGCCCAGGGATGCGGAAACCACAAAGAAGGCGAGCGGGAGCAAAAAGGCGCTCGGCAAGCACGGCAAGGGGGGAGGGGGCAGCGGGGAGAGCAGCAAGAAGAAGAGCAAGTCGGATTCTAGAGCCTCGGTGTTTTCCAACCTGCGAATCAGAAAGAACCTGACCAAAGGGAAAGGTGCCGGCGACTCGCGGGAAGATGTGCTGGACTCTCAGGCCCTGCCGGTCGGGGAGCTGGACAGCGCTCACTCCATAGTCACCAAGACCCCGGACCTCAGCCTCTCTGCTGAGGAGACGGGCCTATCGGATACCGAATGTGCCGACCCTTTCGAGGTGATCCATCCAGGTGGCCCTAGGCCTGCCGAGGCTGGGGTAGGGATCCAGGCGCCTGCGGAGGATTTGGAAACTGCGGCAGGAGCGCAAGATGGACAAAGGACCAGTTCTGGTTCGGACACGGACATCTATAGCTTCCACTCCGCTACGGAGCAGGAGGATTTGCTCTCAGACATCCAGCAGGCAATTCGCCTGCAGCAACAGCAGCAGCAACAGCAGCAGAAACTGCTGCTCCAGGACTCCGAGGAGCCTGCAGCGCCCCCCACTGCCATCTCCCCTCAACCTGGGGCCTTTCTGGGCCTGGACCAGTTCTTGCTGGGACCTAGTAGCGAGGCTGGAAAGGACGCGGATCAGACACAACCGGTGAGATCCGACTTGCCTCAGACCACCAAGTCCCCAGTGACTGAGCATCCTCCCTCCTCTGGAGGCCACTTGGCCTCTGAGACTCCCGGCTATGCGACCGCCCACTCCGCAGGCACAGACTCTCTCTCATCTCCAGCCTTCACATTTCCTGAACCTGAGTCAAGGGAGGGCGCAACCGGAGCCCCAGCTCCCGAAGCTGGGGACACAGATGAGGAGTGCGAGGAAGATGCTTTTGAGGATGCCCCCCGAGGCTCTCCAGAGGAGGAATGGATTCCAGAGGAGGGCGAATCTTCACAGAGGCCGGAGGAAGAGCCGGAGGAGGGGATGCGAGGGCCCAGTGTCTCGGCAGTAGCTTCTTTGCCTGGCAGCCCTGCGCCCAGCCCACGATGCTTCAAACCTTACCCACTCATCACCCCCTGCTACATCAAGACCACCACTCGGCAGCTCAGCTCTCCCAATCACTCCCCGTCCCAGTCCCCCAACCAGAGTCCTAGGATCAAGAAGCGACCGGAGCCTTCCGTGAGTCGGAGCCCCAGAACTGCCTTGGCCTCTGCTGCGGCTCCGGCAAAGAAGCACCGGTTGGAAGGCAGCCTCACCGGCGGCCTTAGCCGCTCAGCCGACTGGACAGAGGAGCTAGGCGTCCGGACGCCCGGGGCAGGAGGCTCTGTGCACCTGCTGGGGCGCGGGGCTACTGCGGATGAGAGTGGTGGCGGGTCCCCTGTGCTGACCGCCAAAGCACCCGGGGCTGCAGCGACAGCTGATGGCTTTCAGAATGTGTTCACAGGTGAGCACGCCTGCCACGTATCTCTGGTGGCAGGTAGCCTGCCAATCAGGGCCTTCCTTTGCAACCCCGCCCCTCCACATTCTGAAAGGCTCGACCTGCTATTTGGAGATCCTTTTGCCACCAGACATGTCTCCTGGGTGGAAAACCTTGGGTGTGCTTAGTTTTCTATTCTTTGTCAGAGTAGTAAAAAAAAAAAAATTTGGCTGTCTGTCCTACATCATCTAAAGAGAGGATTGTTAGGTTCACCACCCCTCAGATTTCCTCTAGGCAATATTAACCACTTTGGTGCCTTGTTACCTCTGCTGTCCTTCATGTCATTTTTCTCCCATTCCATATTTTCAGTTTTAAAAGAATAGACCTGTGCATAGACCTTCTCTATATTGCAGGCACACAACAATTGTTTAAGTACATTCTAAAAGTTATGGCTGACAACCTCTTACATATAGTTTCTATCCTGTAGTGACCAGGGTACCACGCAGGTACTTTGTGACGTTAAGTGATTACCCTGTTTGCTAATGCAAGCAAGTTTGACATATACTATTAGTAAATGAATAAATAATAGACCATTAGTAATCTGTTATTTATTTATGATTCTAAGGATTGAAAGTGGGGCCTTTTGCTTACTAGGCAAGTAAGTACTGTGCTACTGAGCTGTGTCCTCAGACTTTTGAGATAATTTTTGTTTTGGTAAAGGATCTCACTAAGTTGCCGAGGCAGGCCTTGAACTTCCCTTGCTCAGCCTGCCAAGGAGCTAGGATGGATTGATGTCTTTCTGTTTTGTGAGTGAGAGCAGGCTGAAATGTGGGAATGTTGAAGACGGGAAACTGAAAGCATAGGAATCCCACTGATGCTGTCTTCCCTAGCCATGTGGTTGGTGGACTTCTATCATAGACCACAACCAGGCTTAGCTTCCTGGGCTAAAACTCAAGTAGCAGAAATCACTGCTAATGTCTGTTGGCTTCCTGTTTACTCAGCATACTGATTATTGAAAAAAAAAGACAATATTTAAATATGAAGACAAGGAAAAATATCAGCATTTTTTTGACAGTGTTTGTTGGGTTTCAGATAAATACATAGATATTTAAAATTTTAAATGCAATTATTTGTATTTAATACAATTTAAAATTTGTTTCGTTCTGTTATTGTAATAAATAGACTATCAGTTGGATGTGTAACAAGTGCCCGTCACCTCAGCATTTGACAGGCAGCAGTAGGAGGATGGAAGTCAGTTGAGTTCTTATTGGCTAGAGGCTGTAGTAGCTACTTTCTTAAACACATTCATTTTATTTTATTACTTTTATGTGTGTGTTTGCTTTGCCTGCCTATGTGTCTGTGCACCATGTCTGTGCAAGGCCTGCAAAAGCAAAATAGGGCATTAGATACCCAGGGAATGTGGCTCAGGTCCTCTGGAAGAGAAGCCAATCCCCCGACCCTTGAGTTCATGTTTACTTCACTGTTGTGATAGCCTTTATTTTGATTTTGTTGAATAGTAAAGGAGCCCTTGTTCACTTTAGAGACTATTTCCATTTTCTTTCCTCCATGTTCTTTCCTGTGAAGATTTGTTGATAGGAGAAGTTTGAAGTCATGGATCTATTTGATATAATGTAAAATAAAATTAAAACGTTCGAGAACTAAAGGTCATATTTTTATGGATGATGATCGAATGGTCCTTGGATAATGGCCTTGCCGTTTGGATTTCGGGTTTTGAGAGAGGGTCTCATGTATCTCAGCCTGGTATCTAACTTCCTGTGAGCTGGAGGAGGGCCTTGAATGCCCCACTCTCCTGCTTCTGCTTCCCACTGCTGGGAGTTCAAGTTTAGGCTATCAAACTCAGCTCTTACTTAATAACATGTGTGTGTCAGCTTATTTTATTTTGTGCTGATTCTAGTAACCTTCCACTTGTTAGACAAACACTTTAACAGTGAGCTACAACCTTGCACACTGACTACTGAATCATGGCACTGGCTTCCCAAATTTTACTAAGTGGAAGGGAGGTACTAAGATGAGAGCTTGGGGTTCAGCTCTGTGGGAGAACAGTTGCCTAGGATGTGCAATGGTCCGGGCTTTGGTACCAGTACTGGAAAAAAACCATCTATCTATCTATCTATCTATCTATCTATCTATCTATCTATCTATCTA